CTACGTGATAAGAAAACTACCTACAAAAAAAAAAGCCAGGTCCAGATGACTTTCCAGCAGAATTCTACAAGACATTTAAGGAGGAGCTGATACCAATCCTACTGAAGGTATTCCAGGTGATTGAGAAAGATGGAACTTTCCCCAAATCATTTTATGAAGCTAACATCATATTGATACACAAGTCAGGTAAAGACCCAACAAAGAAAGAGAACTACAGGCCAATATCTTTGATGAACACAGATGCTAAAATCCTCAACAAGATCCTAGCAAACCAGATTCAACAACACATCTCAAAGATCATCCATCATGACCAAGTAGGCTTCATCCCTGGGATGCAAGGCTGGTTCAAGAGTCATAAAACCATAAATGTAATTACATACATCAACAGATGTCAAAACAAAAACCACATGATTATATCATTAGATGCAGAAAAAGCTTTTGATAAAATCCAGCACCCCTTCCTGATAAAAACCCTTGAACATCTAGGCATACAGGGAACATACCTCAAAATAGTAAAAGCCATCTACGAGAAACCCACAGCTAGCATACTCCTAAACAAACAAAAATTGGAACCATTTCCCCTGAAAACTGGAACAAGACAAGGATGCCCACTCTCACCCCTCCTGTTCAATATAGTACTGGAAGTCCTGGCTAGAGCAATCAGATAAGAAACGGCAATCAGGGGTATCCAAATAGGAAAAGAGGAAGTCAAGTTATCTCTCTCTGCAAATGACATGATTGTGTACCTTGAAAACACAAGAGAATCTGTCAAAAACCTCCTTACACTGATAAAGGATTTTGGCAAAGTCTCAGGATATAAAATAAATGTGCAAAAGACAACTGCATTTCTTTACACCAATAATAAATAAACAGAAACCCAAATAAAAAGCACAATTACATTCACAATAGCCACAAAAAAATGAAATACCTTGGCATCTTTCTAACCAGAGATGTGAAAGACCTTTACAATGAAAACTAAACACACTGCTCAAAGAAATCAAAGATGACATAAACAAGTGGAAACATATCCCATGCTCATGAGTTGGAAGAATCAACATTATGAAGATGTCCATCCTACCTAAGACAATCTACAGATTTAATGGAATACCCATCAAATTACCAGCAACATTCTTCTCAGAGCTAGAAAAACCAATAAAGGAATTCATATGAAAACACAAATGACCAAGAATTGCCAGAACAATCCTCAGCAAAAAAAAGCAAAGCAGGCGGTATCACATTACCAGACTTCAAACTTTACTATAAAGCTACAATAATCAAAACAGCTTGGTATTGGTACAAAAACAGGCATATAGACCAATGGAATAGAATTGAGATTCCAGAAGCTAAACCTCAATTTCTCAACCAACTCATCTTCGACAAAGGCTCCACCACCCACCACTGGGGAGAGGAGAACCTATTCAATAATGGTGCTGGGAAAACTGGCTGACCACATGTAGAAGACTCAGACAAGACCCCTATTTGTCCCCATACACACAAATTAAATGGACCAAATAACATAAATGTAAAACCTCAAACCATAAGAACCTTAGAAAATGCAGGACACACCCTTATGGAAATTGGAACTGGCATCCAATTCCTGAACAAAACCTGAAACCCACAGGCCATAAGAGATAAGATAGACAAGTGGGACCTCATTAAACTGACAAGCTTCTGCAAAGCCAAACAAACCATCAAGAGAGCAGGGAGATAGCCCACAAACTGGGAAAAAGTATTTGCCAACTCCAGGTCCAACAAAGGCTTAACATCATCGATCTACAAGGAACTCAAACATGCTGAAAAGAAAAAATAACCCCATTATAAAGTGGGCAAAAGATATGAACAGACACTTCTCAAAGGAAGACATCCGAGCAGCCAACAGACACATGAAGAAATGTTTAACCTCACTAATCATCAAGGAGATGCAAATCAAAACCTTACTGAGATACCACCTAACTCCAGTCAGAATGGCAATTCAATTATCAATAATTCAAAGAATAACAGTTGCTGGAGAGGGTGTGGTGAAAAGGGAACATTCCTACACTGTTGGTGGGAGTGCAAACTGGTGCAATCTCTGTGGTGTACAGTGTGGAGATTCCTAAAAGCTCTAGATATCAACCTCTCATATGAACCCGCATTCCCCCTACTGGGAATATACCCTGAAGAACTCAAATCACTATATCAAAAAGATACCTGCACACGTATGTTTATCGCAGCATTGTTCACAATAGCAAGAACCTGGAATCAACCATACTGTCCATCAAAAGAGGACTGGATTAAAAAAAAGTGGTACATATACATGATGGAATACTACGCAGCCATAAAAAAGAACAAAATGATGAACTTCACAGCAACCTGGAATGGACTAGCGTCAATAATACTGAGTGACCTCTCACAGAAACAAAAATCTGAGTATCACATGTTCTCACTCATATAGCGGACCTTGAACATCCATCATAATACTATAGAAAAAGGACTGACAGTGGTGGGAAACTATTGGGGGGGAGGGGAAGAGAGATGGAATTAACGGTAGCCAATATATGTCTGGGAATGGGGAGACACCCCTTATCAACAAGGGTGCCTGAATGAAGCATATTTGTATACCTAACCTTTAACTGTACCCCACAGTATCAAAATAAAAAATATTGATTAAAAAAATTTTTTTTAATTTAAAAAAATAGAAAATTAAAAGAAAAAACTACCCTCTGGTGGCAGTCTCTGTAATTGTTCCTCTAATCAGTCTCTCCTGCAGAGCCACTTTTTCACTGTCTCCTCAGTGTCTGAAACTCGCCAGGAGGAGGGGCAGTGGAGGCGTGTGGGGCTGCAGTCCTCTCCTCCCACTCTGGTGTTGTCAGAGAGCTCTCCTCCAGTGGGGAGGTGGGATTGTCTCTTTCCCAGGTATGTACTCATGGGAAATGCCCCAGCCAGGTTTCCCCTGCAATGGAGTTCTCCTATGGCAAGTGATGTCCAGGCTCTGCCTGAATTTGTCCCTCTTAGTCATGACCCAGTTATGTGGGTCTGATGTTCAGAGGATGACTGGGGAGGAGGGGGTTGGGGTCAGCCTGCCACTCACCACTGGTCTCTTTGGAGTCCTTCTTCATTCTCTTCTGGCCACACCCTTTGTCCTGCAGCTGAATCAGGGTAAGGAATGCGGCACCTGGAACGCAGCTCTCAGGTCCCTCTGAAGTTTGTGTTTTCAGGATATTCCCTCTGGGTCATGATCATTCCCTGAGTAGTTGATCTGCCAGTCACAGAGATTGGGTCTGCTGCTCCATGGTGAGCACGTGGGAGCACTTTCCTGCCCCACCTCTCTTGTCCTCTTTCATGGGACTTTGTCTCTGGACTCCCTCCGCAGTCCCTGCTCCAGTACCCTGCCAGGTGCTGAATTGGTGAGGCAAAGCCAGGACCCAGCAGTCTCTCTCCTGCTGCAATGGTGATGCAGAACCTGGGGCAATATTTTCTACCCACCACTTTTTCACAGGAAAACTTTTGTCCGTTTAAAAAAAAAAGGGCACTCAACTTCTGTGACCTGGGAAGAGCCAGGGATGAAGTAGAGAAGCTGCAGCACCAGCAGTTGCACTAGGGGCCTGGCCACTTGCTTACGAGCTCCCACTTAGAGTGTCTCTCCCACTATTTTCTTCCCAGGGAGGATTTGTTGGTTAAAAAAAAAAGAAAAAATGACACTTGGCTTCTGTGTCCCAGGAATTGCTAGGGTCCAAGCCCAGCAGTGGTGGCACCAGCCGCTGTGCCAGGAAAGCCCTGGTTGCTAGCTCCCTAGCCCTCACTCAGTCAGCCACTCACATGGCCACTCGCTCACCAGCATGTACGCAAAATCTTCCACACACTCACTCACTCACATGGGGACTGGCATAGTCCAACTGACTCAGCTGCCATCTTCCTGACTCCCCCTGCACTTTCTTTTTTTTTTTCTTTCTCATTTTATATTCTAAACTTGCAAGATTTTTATAAATACATGTTCATTCTACACAATACAGATCTTCTAGATCTTCTAAAGGAAATTACAGTTTTTGGTCTTAAGGAGTAAGACTAAGATGGAAAGGAGGATGAAAACAGTGAAATCTGGGGGAGCAATACACTTTCTACACACAAGCAAGCTGTAGTTCATCCAGTCAAGTTAGCCGTTACAGTTCAGTATATGATTTTCAAGGCAACTAAGAAATCAGGACGCAGATTATTTCCCTTCCTAGAGTTAACAGTTCTTTTAAAAGTGCTGAACTATCCATAAAGGAGTGTTGATTTTTGTTTAGTTTTTTTTTTTTAAAAAAAACACAAAGAATAAACAGGGAAAAAAGTTCCATTCTTAAATTCACATACACAAGTTAAACTATAAGCTAGTTTTAGACTACTCAGTGAAATAGAATTGTTGGTACCATCTGAGTCAGGTGCTATCCTACCTAGTGGGTTCAAAAAAGTGATCCAGTAGAACAAATACACATTCATATGCCTCAAACAACTAGACAGTATTTCATTATCCTTCAAATAACATGTTTAATTAACTCCTAAGGTAATAGACTTCTAGGATATTGTATCTTAACAGTATACCTGAATCATTACTAGCAATAGAATGTCAAATTCAAAACTGCTATGAAAGTAAAATCCTCATTAGAAAATGTAAAGAGGGAGAACTGAGTGCAAAATAATGTTTGTGGAAGACAGAGTGAGGAAATAGATGTACCCAATCAAGACCAAACAAAAGACTGTACAGAGTATGAAAAATGTTAAAACAAAAAAAAAAAAAAGAAGAAGAAAAATTTGAAGGAGAAATGGGCAGCAAAACAATTACCGGACAGACCAAAACTAAGAGAAAATGAGACATGTGCATATGACTCTCTTTTTTCTGTCCTTTGTGTTCCTAAATAACTCACAATGTAAGTGGCACACAGGCTACACTAGCAGGCAAGAATGAGCCTTGTGATAGATAGAGATGAAGGATTTGGGGCTAATGAACTGTTTTGTTTTTTGCTTTTGCTTTTCCTTTTAATTCATACCTGAAAGCCTTGAATCCTTGCTAAATATTCCAGTTGTTTTGAAGGTTGTACTGGAGAACAAGGGGGAGTAGTAGAACTTCCTTTTAAACCTATGGCTTCAGCTGTAGGAGATGTTCCATTCATAGTGAGTTCCCTTTGAATGGAAGCTGAACTATTCGATGTGGGAGATATACTGAAGAAAGAGCTTGAAGGTTGGTTCATATCTTTGGGAGACAAATAGCCTAGAGTAGTGCCAGAGATTACTTTGTGGTGGCTGGCTTCCATCTCTTGATAAACATCAGGAGACAAATGCAGAATTCCTTTTGGAGTATTATTTGTTCGTTCAGGAAACCCAGCCTTTGGACCACTCTATCCTTAGTTTTCCCCTGTCTTCTCAAGTTGATCCCGAAGACTAGTGGATGCTTTATAACCAAGTTGTAACAGCATTACTTCTGCAGCATTTTTTTTTTTTGGCTACTTTTTTGTTAGGTCCTGTTCCTGTAGCAACTTCACTGCCTGCCTTGACCTGCATCACAAATTCTCAACGTTGAGGCATTCCTCTTTCTAAAAGCAAAACATAATCCAGTTCCTTTTCCTTTTTGCTCTGTTGAATTTGAGCCAGGCGGCTAATGGGGTTCATTCCTTGACCAAATTCTGGTCCAGCCTTTACTATTGTTTTAGGGCATTTAAAAAAAAATAGTTTTGGCTTTTCCACCACAGGAAGAGATGAAAGTTTTTTAAGCTCCTGTAAGACAGTGGTTGCGGCGCACTTCTTGGAGAGGTTTTTGCTATTTCCCTCCCCTTCTGCAGAGAATTCTCCCACTGACACCCTAGTAACAAAGCTTTTCATATGTGGTGGTCCACTTTCTTGAGTAACCTCAAAACTGACAGGCATATTTCGCTTCAGAGCAATTTCAAGCACCAAGCTGATCTCAGATTTATTTGCATCTTTGTCATCATCCATTTCTTTTCCTGATTCACCATTCTGAGATGATTTTTCTGGAATAGGTTCATTTTGCAGTGCTTGCAGGGCTTTCATTGCAGCATTGTGTCTAGCAGCTTGTCGAGTCTTTCCTTCCCCCCAAAATTCATTATTTCCTACAATCAGCTGAACATAAAAGATCTTAGGCATTGGACAATGATACCTCTGATTGTACATGCCCCGAAAATTGTAATTAGCTCTATAATTTGGAAATGGCTTTGGATCTAATGGCCTGTAGATGGCAGGCTCTCCCCTTTTCATAGCAAGCCCATTCAGTTCCACAGTTGGAATTATACTGCCTAGGTTATTATTAACATTACTTTTGGGTGGTTTCTGAACTGGTTTGGGAAGCATAGATTCAGTCAAAGCTTTTTCAGCAACAGCTTGTTGGGCCTTCTTTATACTGCTCCCTTCGGATTCCCATGTTTGCTCTCCAAGATTCAGCTGCACTGAGAACATCTTTGAATGAGCAGGCCCTCTTTCATTCAGAAGTTTATACTGGGGTTGGACTCTATTGAAATGGGCTAACTCATTTACCAGACACATTGGAGTTTTCTCTTTTGGGTTTGCCATTTTATCTTGGAGAGAAGCTGATTTATTTGAAGCATGTTAAGATAATATTGACCAAACTGCTGTATCCTTCAAAAGCTATACTTCTTAAGAAATGCATTAATAGCACAAATTAGCTTTAATAACTAAATATAAAATTTTTCATTATAGTGAATTCAAAAACATCCAAATTAGGAGCTCCTGTGAGGTGAGGAAATTGAGAAAGAAAAGATTCCAAGTATTAATTCTGGACATGGGCTGCATATTAGAATCACATGGAGAGAGTCTTGGATCTTGATCTCCAGGTCATAGTTTAGTCAAAATAAATGGAAATCTCTTGTGATGGGATCCATATATTAATATTTTTAAAGCTTTCTGGAAGTTAAAAAGTTAGTTTTATTTTATTTTATTTTTGCAGAACACTATGCATCTTTGTGGTCCTAGAAGATGTTTAGTCAATTTTAAGAATGAATAAGGCACGTATGAATTAGCAGATTCTTCTCTTTTTTTTGTTGCTGAGATGATGTTTTGCTATGTTGCCCAGGATGGTCTCAAACTTCTGACCTCAATTTATCCTCTCACCTCGGCTTCCCAAAGTTCTGGGATTACAGACGTGAGCCACAGATTCTATAAATAGCAATCTCCTTGAACTTTTTTCAATCTCTGGTCATTACAGCACTTTTGTGAAGTCAAAGCTGAGGAGATTCCAGAACTATCATGACTGAAAAAAAGAAAGGACAGAATCAAAACTGGGCACACTGATATTAATATGAAGATAGAAGAACAGAAAGTTTCTGCGATGCATCTTAGTAAGGCAACTATACCACTTTGAGTCAAATAAAAGCTATTATGCATTTGCCCAGGAGGCAGATGGGATTCTGATTCAAAGGGAGCCCACCAATGAAGCACCTGCACAAACACATAAATGTCATGTTCCAGGAACAGACAGGAGATAGCTCCTAAAACAGAACCTGCTGTTTTAGTCCAGTATGAGCTCCCATAGACTTCAAAATTCCCTATTCGTAAATCTCAATTTGGTTTTTCCATACTGTGATCGGTAAGATTTTTTTCTTTTCTTTTACCTTCACCCTCCAAAATGCTTTATTGTACATGAAACAGTTTGTGAGTGTGCATGTATTATTAGCTAATATAATTTTTAATCAAAATCAAATGGAAAAGAGTGGGAAAAATTATGTACAAAAGTACCCCCTTTTCCATTTGAAACCTATTCATATGACTTTTATTTTTACATCCAGGTAACTTATTTTACCCATGCTGTGAAATAGAAACCTCATCTCATTTGACACTCTCTGAAATTCACCCCAAACTTTAAATCATAGCAACTTTGAAAAATGTTGCTTCAATAGCAGTCCTCTTTATGACTACAGTTTTGCAACCTATAGGTTATGAATTTTTAGTGAAAAAAATTAATTTGTACACGCTGTCCCTATATAAGAATTTTTAAAGATAGGCTTTTCCCTACAGTCTATTGGGGCTTATTTTTTTTCTTTCCACTCATTTGTCTTTCTTTGGTTATATTCACAAGTGAGTAAAGAGAGGGGGAAAAAAAGCAGGAGCAAAGCAAAATTAGGTAACCACAAATAGGAAAAAAAAATTACTCAAATTACACAGTACCTCAAAGAATCTTTTTAAAGATTTAAATGATGTATCTTTTATATATGTTAAAACAGATTTAATTAAGTTTGATGTTTAAAAAGAATGTTGCCTTTTTCACATTAGATTTTTGTAGCATGTTTTTTCTCTTTAGAATTTCTGCTTTTAAGATTTGAGCAGATTGTCACAAAGTTGGTTTACGTATTCACTTCTTCAACAATTGTTAATTGAGCAATAGTATGTACCAAATATTGTGTGGACACTGAAAATTTTGCAAAACAAGGCAAAAAATAACACAAAAACATGTTGATGCCTCCAAAGAATTTACAATCCAATGGGAAAGAGAGATATAAATCAAAGTATACAACTAAAACTGTGCTAGTTGAGGTACATCGTTCTTTGGGCTATGACTTGGGGTGATTGGAAAGCTGATACATAGGAAAGGAAAACTGAGGAAAAGTTCTTCATTTTTTTATTTTTATTTTTTGAGTTGGAGTCTCACTCTGTCGCCCAGACTGGAGTGCAGCGGCCACTCCCGGCCACCGCAGCCTCGCCTGCTGGACTCTGGCCATCCTTCCGCCTCAGCCTTCCAAGTAGCTGGAACTACAGGCGCGTGCTACCATGCCCAGCTAGTTTTTTGATTTATTGTAGAGATGAGGTCTCGCCAAGTTGCCCAGGCGCGTCTCAAACCTGCGGGCTCAGGCAATTCACTCACCTCAGCCTCCCAAAGTGCTGGGATTACAGGCTGAGCCACTGAGCCCAGCTAAAAGTCCTTCATTTTAAGGAGAGAGTGTAGAGGAGTAGAAATGTGAGAAACTGGAAAGCTTGACAAATTAAACAGTCTAGCAAAACAAAATAAAACCAAGAACTGTGTCTTGATTGAGAGAATAGAAAAAATGGTAGTGAGCGAGCAATGAGATATTAACAGACTTTCACCTGTGTGAAGAATGTCGAAGTGTCTTCAGAACCTATGAAGCTAGTGACAAGGGCTTAGCCTGCTCACATGAGCCTTTTGAAAAGTTCACTCTGCTTGTAGTCTGAAAAACTACCAGGAGTGAAGCAAGACTGAGTACACTGAGTCAAGTGAAAAGACCTCTGTAGCAGTCAGTGCATAGGACATAAGTTAGTAGCAGTTTTATGTTAATATTTTATTAGCTAATTTATATAACTTAGAACCATCACAATTAAGGAGTAGCAACTTTTTAGCTATGGAATGATGTTATCTTACTGGCCATTAAATAAAATGAATTCCTTATTAAACTTGTATTAAAATGGAAATCTTTATGCCAACATCCATTAAAATAGCAAAAGAAAAAAAAGACAATTTGCAAGATTTCAAGGATGAAAATAGAAATAGAAGCTGCGAGAACAAAAGTTGATTGACTCCAATATTACTGTGTGAAATAAATTTCTACTTAAATTATTCATTCCACTTCCTAACTAAAACCTGCTTTCTCCAGGAGGCTATATAATCATCATTTTAATCTAGTATTTTAATAAGTCTCTAATCAATTTTAAATTTCTTTTATGTAATAAATTTTCAACCCAGGAATTGAAAATCCTAGTGGTACTCTAATATGCATTATATAGAAATATAGGAACTGCAGTCCTTGGAGAAAAAAAAAGAAGCAGCACGAGGGACAGTACATTGATCAAGGTTCTCCAAAGAAGCAGAAATAATAGAATACACAAATACATACATATATATATATATCGAGAAAGCAAAAGAGCAAGAAAGAGTGCATGTTTATGTGTGTGTGTGTGTGTGTGTGTGTGTGTGTGTGTGTGTGTGTGTGTGTGTATGAAAAGGAATTGCTGGCAAGTCCAAAATCTGCACAAGTCATGTTTAAGTCAGAGCACAGAGGTCAGGAGCTGCTGTGGAACCAGGACGAGCCAATGTCTGAATGCTGCCAGAGGGAGAATTCTCTCTTACTAAATGTATTTATATCATACTAAATGACATATTTACCTACATTTTTTGTTTTAAAATGTGGTTTAAAAAGTTGTTTTGTTTGTTTTGAGTCAGGGTCTCACTTTGCTACCAATACTGGAGTGCAGTGACATGAGCATGGCTCACCACAGCTTCGACCTCCTGGGCGCAAGTGATTCTTCCATTTCAGCCTCTTGAGGGGTGCACCACCATGCACTGCTCTTTTAAAAAAAAATTTTGTAGAGATGATTCTCCCTATGTTGCGTAGGCTGGTCTCAAACTTCTGGGCTCAAGCAACCCTCCCGCCTTGGCCTTCCAAAGTGCTGAAATTACAAACAGGAGATACCATACCAACCATGCTTTGGTTTTTGCTAACTAATTACTAAGCTTTTAACTTTATGCATCAATACTAACAGACAGTTAGGTAACCGAATATAAAGAGATAGAAACAGGCAAAAGGAAATTAAGATGAGCAGCCACTGCACTCCAGTCTGGGCGACAGAGTGAGACTCCAACTCAAAAAAAAAAAAAAATGCTTTTGTAACAATTCAGAATTTTTGCTAGTTTTGTACTATATAGAAAAGATAATTTTTCTGTATAAGAGCATTTATTTTTCAAATACAGCACATCAAAGTCAGAATACTGGAATATTTTATATATATTTACAATTTCACTGCACTATTAGGTTAATTAGCTGTCATAAACAATTTTCCAATTGATATGTGTTGAAAATTACAATTTTTTGAAAGCAATGTGAATTAAAAAACTGTTAATGGATTTGAAATAAATGACATAGAAATTATTTAAATTGATATTTAAGTAAGAACATTATGACTTTTCAAAAAAGAAAAAGAATAATAGCACAGGTGATATGAACTGAAATGTATCACCATAAATTCAGATGTTGAAGCAAACCCTAATCACTGGTGTGACTGGTGAAGCACTAATCTCCAATATGACCGTATTTGGAGATAGGCCCTTTAGTAGATAATTATAGTCCTATGAGGTTATTAGAGTCAGAACCTGATCTGACAGGAGTAAGGTCTCTCTTAACTATTTTAAGAGCCCAGAGAGCACTCCCCATTCCCTGCGGTGTAAACACAACTGAAGAAAGGTCATGTGAAGACATGTGGGGAAAGCCGCGATATGCAAGCCCGGAAGAGTGCCCTCCCCAGAAACCTTATTGGTTAGAACTTGGATTTTGGACCATGAGTAAATAAATGTGTGCTGTTTACACCTCCCAGTCTATCGTATGTTTTTTAATGGCAGCCTGAGCTGGTTTATACATTACAGGCTAAGTCCATGTTTTGTAGCTAATTTCATACACAGAGTATTTTGCTGTTCCATTTTGCTGATATGTGTAGTTCTTGTTTTCAAAACTTGAATGCATGCATTTTTATATGAATTGTAATTTTTGTTGTCTGTAATATAGATGCTTCATGAGAGATTCACTAAGTATGTCACTCAGATTTGGTGTGAAATTAAACCTCAGTTTCATTTGGTTATGAGTTTTGGAGTCAGAGAAAGATGTGTACTTTAGACAAT